TAATCCTAGCCACATTTTTAACAACCAGGCTTCAAAATCATTACTGCCTTGTATTGTACATGAGTTTGCTGAAATGCTGTTAGTACATCATGCTTTTTCCTGTTCAGTTTGTGCATTGTTCTGTTGTTTGTTAAAGAAAATGCATAATGTTATTTATCAAGATCAATACTGCATGATTAAAGCGTGTGAAATTTGGTTTTCAAGATAGGCCACATTAGACTGTGGTAGGAAGAAAATGACATCACTGGGGTGAAGCGCAAATGGTGAGCACACTGAACACATATGCTGGAACACATAGCTGTGGGGGTGAAACGGTATACGGTATTAGTAAAACTGCAGTATTTTGCCTTCGGTTTGGTATACCGTAATGCAATCCATAAAATTTGGTTTCCATACTGTCATTTTATTACCTTTTCTAAAATGACTAGAAATCAAATCAGTTTGTCAAAATATATGCGTTTCTTTGCTAGACAGCCACTATTTTCGCAGAAGTAAGTTCTCATATACCAAACTGAAATGGACTGAACCAAAGGTTTTGTACCGCAATACGTATTGTATCGTTTCACCCCTACATAGCTGTAACACATAGCTGAAGCAGGGTGTCACTTTTACCAAGCATCTTTGTGATCTCTTACAACATTGAAACCCTTGCACTTGCATGTATAGGTTGTTTTAGCCAAACCTCCACAGCCAGAGAGTATGTCCTTACACTGATGTAGCTTCAAGTCTGTTTGTATTACCCAGAGTCATTTATCATGGACTGGTTTATTTTCATCTTAACAGGAATTTCCATAAAGTGCCTGAAGAAAAATATGGTTGTCAGACATGATATATCATCTGCAACTTGTATAAAAACATGAATGGGTACAGATGTAAACAAAATATGAATTTTCATGATTTCAATGAAGAACTTCTAATTTTGCATATGGTGGATTATATTTACAATGACTGAGAATATTTTTATCATTTGTGATGGCACCAATCTTGTGTGTATGTAAGTCTAAAGATATTTTCTCATTGTGCTTGATAAACAAGTAGCAGTTTGTAACAAAAATCTGAATGGAATTGCCAAACTGTAAATATGTTGTTTTCTTTGTGATTGTTATGTGACTTCCCTGGGAAGCTTTGATTCAAACATAATTGTGCCATTCTTTTGAAGAATCAGAATGTCTGGTGTAGCCTCTTTGTTTCGAGGGATAGTATTGAATTTTCCTGTTTGGTAAATTCTTGACATTCAAAGAAAATTTGTTTAAGACACTGTGGAGAGTACCAGGATTAGCTAGTAGTTGGTTGGAATTGCAGATCCTTGGTCTATCACCTTCTTGCAAATGCTCTTGAGTGCAACCTACGTGAGAACCAACAGGAAAATATGACGTGTACCAATCTTCCACTTTAGGAAGTCCTGTAAGTGGAACACTTAAGAGAATACATTTTGGTTCAAGAACAGTTAGCTTTAACATTTGTGTACTTAGATGGCTGTGCATTGTTATGATGCATATTGTTTAATTTGTGTTGTCATCTGTTATCCAAGGTCCAGGTTTTGGGAAAACTGTGAAAATATCATGTCACCTGTTAAATATACTGTCACCAACTCAGCATCTTGTGAATTGCCAAACATCTGGAGCTGCAAGCAGATGGCAGTTGGTGGTATTGTCAGTCAGTTGTTCAGGAAGAGAGATTTTGAAGTACAGTTGATGAAGTTATATATTTTGCTAAATATGGATTGTTAATGATGAAATATTCCTGCTGGAGGTAAAGACTAGACGACCACTGGATATGAGGTGCTACATTTTCTGTCCTGAGAAATGTGCAAATGTCCAGGCTGTCTGTATTTTTGTCTGTTTCCCATCTCCTGCCTGCCCAGAACTGTCATTCCAATGTGAAATAATAAAACTGTTCTGTTGTCTCAATGCACACCCTTATGTGGTGAAAAAAATACACACTTTCCCTGGAACACTCACAAAAATGAGGCTTGATCTTCCTTAATCCACATTTAATTAAGAGCACTTTCTAAAGCAAAGCGATATGTTCTACATCATTAATGAATATAAATGATGATCCAAATTAGTGAGTAACAATTCTTTCTTTTTTCATATTCAGTGTTAGAAACCTTTCAAATTTTCCCACTAGACCACAGGACCAGTAAGTGGACAATAATTTGTTGTCCTGTCTGAAGTTCACTGGTCCAAAATAACATGTAGATTTGGTTATTATATTCATTTGAACTTTTAACATCTTTTAATTTTTTTTATAAATTCACTGGCCACCAGGACCACAGCTAACTTATCATTTAGTAGTCCTGATGAAGTTTTACTAGTCAGGGACCACAGGACCAGCGTAAATTTTGCACACTGCATATTCATTATTTTTTCCTTGCCCATCTCCTCTGTCTCTTGCTGGTTTAGGCTGGAGATGAGGGACAAATACAGATGGCTTTATTGAAGAGATGATGCATTTTGTGTGATTGTGATTTCATTCAGAAAATTGGATGTGAAGTAGTGTACCCATTTGATGTGAAGGGATGCTTAGTGGATGAATGCACTCTACAGTACTGGTTACATGACCTGAGCCACTGTTTTTGTACAGTCCTCACATTCGTCTCACACAAATTTCATATTTTTCTACTCTTGCAAAATCAGTACACATATTATGTGGTTTGTATTCAAGGAAATTGATTATTGAAAAATCAACCTAATACATACTAAATTCTGTAGGATACTAATACAGTGGAACTTTCTATTAAACTGTGAAAAGTTGTCAATGGTAAGGTGAACTTTAATGTGACCTGTGCTCAGACAGGTGATGTTGAGATGAGGACACTTATTGGTCACAGAAACAGTCTCACGTGATGACCTGCTTGTTTGTACAAGCATTTGTAACTTTCTGTCCCTCGGAGTCCATGGAATTGGTACATGTTCTGTTTCTTTTAAAGACTCTTAAAAGATTCCTGATTGTATTAATTGACATTTTTTATATTTAGTGATGAAAAATAAATTACCTTGACAGTATGAGTATGTTGTTATTTCTTGAAAATAAAAACGTGGGAATTAAACACGGACAGAAAAAATCAGATGGTGAAATGAGACTAGACTTTTGGTGTTGAGTAATTGCATTACTTTAAAATTTGGTGTGATTAAGGTTATTTATACACAGGTAACTGATTTGAAGGAGATGCAATAGGAGACAACACATGAACAGTGTCAAAGCTAAATTTTCAGCAGGATGACTCCTCAGGAGTAAATTTCACGCACTTTCCTGTTAAGGGAGCATTCATTATTGGGGGTGGGTGTGTGTGTGTGATTGATAAGCATGTACAATGTGAATGACCCTCCTAAATTTAATGTTCAAAGTGACCCCCCTGCATGTCATGTGCAAAAGCAATAGGCAACGCACTCTCTCCCCCCAACCCCCAACTTTTAACCATAATTTTTAAATATTGCTATGTACAAAGTTGCTGACCCCCCTAGTGCATGTGTACAAAATTGATGACCCTCTACCTGCCAGTACAAAATGGGGCACACACACTTTAAATCAGCATCATCACACATACACCCACGCCCCCTAGCCATAAATTATGAAGGGTCCCTTATCATACAGATATCTGTATTGGAAACATCTTATATAGATTAGAAACATGAAATATATTAGTCTCTCTCACAGTCCCCGCATTATTTTCACTTCCGCAATGCTAAAGCTAAAAAAAATGAATCATTCCAGATTTCTTCAGGTTCATCTCCCTTCTCAATGGGACTCCTTTTCAATTTAAATTAATTATTTCTGTCAAAATTATATATATACGTTATCACAGATTAAGCGTTAGTCTAGAGTGAGGGTTACCTCACCCAAACCAGATTAATTTCATAATTCACTTTCATACTGCTATTAGATATAATTGGATTAAATTGTATATTTATGATAACCAATACATCAACTACTCACACCCATAATCCGAATTCTAAGATGCCTAGCGGTTAGAACAATCGAAAAAAAAGATACATTATCAGACAATAAAGGTATAGTTTTTTTATGACGTAACAATTGAATGACGTTATCCCGTCACTGCGCCATTCTAGTGTGTCCCCTCGTAATCGAACCATTTTACATTACGTCACAATGTAAGCGACGTCACGATGCATGTCAGTTATCATCGCCTCGTACGGCCTCCTACATTAAACTACTGCGTTGCATCCCGTTTCTTGGTTTGCTGTTGCTTCACGCAGCTAACATCACTGGTGGAAACATTACGTTTATGTTTTACGGCGGTTAAAATGTGTCAATTCGACTCACAAGTTTTCAGCGACACGGTAACGTTCGCAAAGTTTACATTCCCAAAATGCAATCGTGGAATGTCGCTTGACTACTCAGCTTCATCTGGATGTACCGATCTAAACTTACGTTGGTAGTAGAAATGCAACGTTCATATTGCCCAATATGGTTTACGTTCATGACAGATGTAATTAAAATAATTCAGAGAAGATATTTAATCCGAACGTAAACCGTCATCAAACTGTTATCATTTGTTTTTTTCTGGTAACGTTCGTCTAACGTAGGGGGGCAGACACATCAATAGAACAGCGCGCCAGTTAGCCCTGTGCGAGGCTTCTTAACTTAGGTCACCGACACGGTCGTTTGTTTTCTGCCTTAAATTAATCGTAATTATCCTTAGAAAGTATTAAATTTGGCATCTTAGAAATGAAATACAGTTCGCTCTACCACCATGTATAGTGTAATAAAACACACTTTCGCCCTGAACTATTATAACGTTAAAGCACTCGGACGCAAGCGTCCTCGTACTTTAACGTCCTCGTACTTTAACTGTAGCGTCCGAGTGCTTTAACGTTATAATAGTTCAGGGCGAAAGTGTGTTTTATTACACTATACATGGTGGTAGAGCGAACTGTATTTAGGAGATGAACATCATGTGTTGGCGAATTTCCGGGTGTTATTGAGTATTTGAAGCACGGGAATTCATTTGGAACCGACGGCGTATTTACTGTGTCTGATCCCAGCATTTTATCGCAGATGCTCCTTTGTGACGTCACATCATGTTTTCTATTGTCGATGACGTCACAAAACGGCACACATCATCCAAGATGGTTTCCAGTCATAAGGGCCCGCCGATCTTAGCCGGTCGGCACTCGTTGACTGACCGAGAGGTGTACTGGCTGAGTGATGTCTTCTACAGATCGGCCTTCTATGTGGCTTTCTTGTCATGGGTTATTTGTTTAGCAGGCCCACTCCTTATGCTTGGGTAAGTTCACGAACCTACTTTTTGTGTGTAGCAAATAAGCACACGCATGTGGTATATCTGAAAATCAATCAGTACTGTGTGATGTTAGTTTGCCAGCTCTTTAGAGTTAAAAACATCGAACATCTCCAGCTGTGGTAAGCGTGTGGCTGTGCGGCCCAGTTGAAACTTGTGTAGAGACAGCCACTATATCTCAAGTTGACACTGAAATGTTGTCAATATATATATTCCGTCTCTTTTCTGCCCAGTATTCCCATACAATTCGTGACAAGTACAAGCGCTCAGACCAGCGACCACGTGGAAAATACTTGGGATGACGAAAACAGGAAAGAATGGATTTGGCGCCATGTGCGTATTTTCAGGGAGTCTATTCAGGTATGTCTGAAGAAATCGCCGATGTTGATATAGTCGAAGGCAACAAACAAACAAACAAAAAACTACAAAAAGAAAAAAAACCCGGCAAGGTATGAATAGAAACATTTGGGCCAATAGGATATGCGTATTTAAACAATTCACCAAATGCATGTTTCGGACCTGTTACAACACTATGTGCGCAGAGAGTCAACTATGTGTCCGACATGATTTCATGATTGTTACACTGTAAAGAAACAAACAGGATATGTTTAGTTATAAACCTGTTAATGAGTGTGGTTAAACACTTAAAGTAATACATATTTCTTGTGTTCTAGCCAAACACGTTTAGGGTCCAAGTACATGAGACCCATGAAGATCTGGGTTAGAATGATAGACGACTAACGAGATCGTTTGGTCAGGCTCTCTGACTGGGTTGACACGTCATCGTATCCCAGTTGCGTAGATCGATGCCCATGCTGTTGATCACTTGATTGTCTGGTCCAGACTCGATTATTTACAGACCGCCGTCATATAGCTGGAATATTGCTGAGCGCGGCGTAAAACTAAACTCACTCACTCACTCCAAGCACATGAAATGACTAAACACCCCCATCAATCGAAGCATGTTTAGAATTTTAACAACTTGAAGCCTGTTTAGAATTTAAATTTTTTACATGTTTAAATAAACTGCATATCATAATTCAATAAGTCAAATGTGGATTAGGTGTGAAATATATATTGAAATTAGCTGTGCAATCAGCTTCAGTTACTAGCATATGACATCTACCACCAGAACTTGCAGCAAACTTGGTCAAATATCACAATAAGCACGTACACATATACCAGGCTATGTTCATGGTGACGAGGACAACTGGCATCTGTGAAGACAACGTCTCCGCCCCATACACCACACGAAGGAACATTATGTTCCAAATATAATCATGTCAGTGGTATACGGGTCTTTGTCACGTTAAGCACAATCTTACAGATGTTTGGACCTAAACATATCAAATTAAAGGTCTGGGGATCGTTTAAGGATCGTTTTAGGATCGTTTTGTTTCTACTTTCATGCCTACCTTTATAATTCAGCACCACAAAACACTGGGAAAACAAGTCAGTGCACATGAAACGCTCATGTCTCTTTGCCACTACGACAGTTCACAATCTGTTATAATCATTCCGTCTATCCTAGCTGCGCAAGATGGAGATGAGAGATTCAGCATCAGCGTTCATAATAGTTGCCTGTGTGTTGAGGATGTGGCCCCAGACATTCAGCCAAATACAACTCCACTCATATGCAGGTATTGTCTCAATGGCAAACATGGGAAAATAGGACAGGCAATAGTACGTTCACCTCTGAACTTTGTATTAGTACCTATGATAGCATGTGTTTACAACTTCCGAGAAACCACTGTATCCGCATTTGACAACTTTTAATGCGTGTTAAACAGGAGAAAACAGTTGAGGAAATGAGTGAGTGAGTGAGTTTTTAGTTTTACGTCGCACTCAGCAATATTCCAGCTATATGGCGGAGGTCTGTAAATAATCGAGTCTGGACCAGACAATCCAGTGATCAACAGCATGAGTATCGATCTACGCAACTGGGATACGATAACATGTGTCAACCAAGTCAGCGAGCCTGACCACCCGATCCCGTTAGTCGCCTCTTACGGCAGGCATGGGTTTCTGAAGATCAATTTTACCCCGGATCTTCACGGGGAAATACTGTGATAGTTGTGATGGACCAAATAAGGCCAATAGGTCCAGGGTATCTACAACAACAAAATGGATCCCGGTAATACTCACGATTAGATTCACACATGCAGCAATCGGAACTACCACACATTAATTAAAAATTCACATCGCTCGAAGATTGCCCGAAGTAGTACACGAGTTTCTTCGAGTCCTTACAATGAAGGGTAATTTCAGAAGAAGGGGGCTACTTAATCTGAAAAAAAACCCGGGTTCTTTAACGTTCTATATTTACAGGCCGAGTAATAAAAAGGCGTAATCGTGTGGCTCAAACCACAGGGCCCTACTTGAAGAAATTTCGCCAGGGTTTGCGCCATCTGGCGGAGGTTACAGAAACACTTCGCCTGGAGAAGGAGAAGCTCGCCCGCAGGAGGAAGAAGGTCTACACCAAGTACAGCATGGCAGGTACTGTGGTTCAGTACCGTCATCTGGTACGTGTGTTGTCATTGTGTTCATAAGTGAGAGTGAGTTAAAGTTTCACGTCTCATCAGCATTAGTTCAGCCATGTAGCGACGAGACCAACCCTCCACATATACACAAGTCCACCTTAATTACAAAGTGTGAAGGGTTTTTTTTAAATAACATATTTTTTTATTACATTATTATTTACAATTAGAAAAAAAAAATCATAATACTAAATTTAAAAACAAGCAATTTGTCATACACATACATAGTTACAATTTATAGTAAGACCAATTTCTCTTTAGTAGTTCACAATGGGATGCACGGTTGAACAGATCTTTCAGATGTACTGTTTGATAATGTGAATCCCTTGCATTTGAAAAGTCAACACAATCAAGCAGAATATGCTTGATGGTGACCACTTTATCGCAAGAGATACACTTAAAAGGTCCATCTCCATCTGTTTTGAGCAGATAGTCATGGGTAGTGAGTGAGTGAGTTTAATTTTACGCCGCATTCGGCACTATTCCAGCTTTATGTCAGCGGTCTGTAAATAATCGAGTCTGGACCAGACAATCAAGTGATCAACAGCATGAGCATCAATCTACGCAATTGGGACCGGATGACATGTGTCAACCAAGTTAGCGAGTCTGACAACCGATCCCGTTAGTCGCCTCTTACAAGCATGGGTTACTGAACAATTCTAATTCTTCACGGGTGATAGTTATGAGTAAACCGACTGTGGCAAATACATATGGTGAGACGTCCTTATGAAGACACGTGTAAATCTCACCAGCTAAAAATACAAAATGGACTTTTTTTTAGAGATAACATTTTGCTACATCTACGGTTAGGCACTGTATATAACAATACGTCTCAGACAACTATATCTCGTTCTACTACCACCACTACCTAGGGGTGTCGGGTTAGGATCGATCCCTACGCCAGTAGCCCTTGCTTGGCCTACAATTCGACATATTGACTGTTGAGTCGGGCCCTGTGATTTGACTTGGTTGATTGCGTGACAATATACAGCGACGGCGGGCATCGTTGCTCGTGATATCAGTCACTGGATTGTCTGCTCCAAGAATCGATGATTTACAGCTGCCTTCGTTCAGCTTGGATGTTTCTGAGAGCGGCGAAAAACACTAGTGAGTGAGTTGTGTTAAAATTTAACGTCACCTCGGCAATGTTTCAGCCATATAGTGACGAAAAACACTAGTACTAATACTACAGTCATATATCCGGCCTACTTTTAGAACTAAGCACCACAAACCTTACAAATTATATCACAATACTTATCACATATTTTGTGAAACTCTCTTACCAAAAACACTGAGGAAACAATGCCGAAGTCTGAAGGTACTCCCGTTATATCAAACATGTTGAAATCTTTCACATATCTACTTCTGTTTTCAGAAGAGACATTACTTCGTGATATACGCAGTAAAGAAAAACTTATCGGATTCTTGAGGACGCAGATGCAATGCCAAACACTTGGGTTGAAGGAAGTGACGTCATCGGTGAAAGTCTCGCGAGACCGACTCGAAGTACAACGAGAAGAAAACAAGTCTATTTTAGACCAGTTAGAATATTTTGCCCAAATCGCACAGTTTCGTTCGTAGTAACAATAGAACGAATACATATCATCTGGTTTGAATCTGTATTCGATAATCTGACAGGCACTTAAAATTCTTATTGTATTAAAGGGTTTCATACCGTTTTTAACATTTTTGCTGCGGCAGTTCATGTTGGCTTTGATAGCAAATAGTTTGTCTTCACAAAATGTAAATCTGCAGTCTTCAGTTATGATTGAACAAGTTCCGCATCGAGGTGTGTGTCATTTTGTTACATTGACAGTGTTTGTATATGTGAATATTTAGATGGACAAAGGCTTTGTTTTAGATTTATAGGCGTCCTGGTGCTACCTATAAATGTACGCAAAGATAAACCTTTTATAGAGCAACACTTGTATACAAAATTGGAAGGTTTTCCTTTATGATGGGCATAATTGTACAGTTATTAGGACTGTAGGTACAAACAAATGGAAGAATGTCCATCTCTGTATTTGTGTCTTTTGTTTTCATAAGTGTCTCTCTTGGGACTTTTACTGCTTTATGAACAGCATGTTCAACTCCCCCACCTGGATATCCTTGTAGTTGAAGATATGTCTAACTTTGGTCATATAAATGCAATATGCAATCTTGTAACTGGAAAAGAAGACGAACCGTGTTCTCCAAGGTTGTGATATAAACGAAGAAAAGCTTTGCAGAGTAAAAGAATGGAAGTATTGAGCCTCCTGTTATATATTACCCGCAAGGGTAAAGATGGAAATCAGAGACTGAGGGTTGATGGAAATCGTATGTATCCTAGGGCACATCTTGTCTAGAGACTCAACGGTCCTCGAACGGTGGTTATCGTATGCTTATCTTACGTAATTAACTTCTGTCGAACATTTCCTAACGATAAGAACGGTGACGGTAATAATAAAATAGAACAGTATGTACGTATTATGTGACACACTGTTTTCGTCATTCGTGAGGGTGAGACATATAAACCTCACTCATTCACTGTTTAATATAGACTAATGATTAGTCTCTGAATATATATTAGTTCGACAGTAACAAACAAGCCCATTTAAATTGAAAAGGAGCCCCAGGAAGACCAGAGATTCAGAACCTGGGGAAATCTAGACTTGCTTTATTTAGGGCTTTAGTACTGCAGAGAGGGCTAGGCAGTAGGGGAAATAATGTGGTTCAGGGACTGTGGGAAAATAATGTGGTTCAGGGACTGTGAGACAGACTATGTTTAATATTACGTTCACCACTGTGCACAAAATAAAGCTGATTGTTCCGTTCAAATGTTCTGTTCCGGGGGCAGTTGTGTTTATATCAGGGGAGGGAAGATGTGTTTATAGATAACTAATACCCATGGTGATATGGACCTGCTTACACACCTGGTTGTGGGGGACACACGGGGTGGGGGGACACGCGGGGTGGGGGTACAGCTGGCATCCTAACATCAATTTCCTGGCCATCATCGGAACAATGACAACAGCAAGTTGTTTTCATTATCACCACTATCAACAATATATGTTGGATTATCTGCTATTAAAATACTCGTGTATCGACAACTGTAACATGTTGTTATCACAATGTGACCGGTATCGGCTCATTATCGAGCCGATATGTCACTATCTTTCATTAGAGGGTGTACTCCCAGGTATAACAATGGTGTACACGATTATCTTGACATGTAAATGGACTTGCTACATTTCTAGCAAAGTAGTCGTGTTCTGCTACAAATATATGTACACAAATTGAGAAAAGACAGACACTGACAGAAGATATTTACTTTTCTTGGTACAAGTGTGGTGTGTTTGGAGTTTTATAATTTATTGCGTGGATTGAAGTCGGCTTAAATAGTATAAAGGCGGTGATACGAGCGTCCGTGTCTTGTCATGTTCAGGCACAAATGACGAAAACAGTGTATTACATAACAGATTATTCGTCTGCCCGGTATCAGCAACAGGTCGATCAGCGCTGTGTGCGGGGCTGTACTTCACATGCTGTAACCATCACGGAACCTACGGAACCGTAGAAGGGACATCGGATGAGAAAATATATAGCAATAGTAAGGCGTGGCCACGAGATACTAAGTCGAGGCCACGAGAAAACAAGTCGAGACCACGAGATAATAGATATTTATTTTCTCAACCGACGTCCCTTCTCCGGATCTCTAGGAACCACTGGGTGTGTCGGCTTGATGTTCCAAGACAATCATACCAACGAGAACGGCCTTGGTGCTGAATCTTGGATTCGAACCTATGGCGACTGAACGCCTGTAGTAAATGAAACCCAGCCCAGCTAATGTCAGCCACAGATAATGTCATCCTAATCCCAGGTTCAGTGGAGACTGTTAATATGTGATCTATGTATGCACGTTTGGTATTTCACGTTGTTTCCCCCCTCAAGTTTTGTGAGGAGAGTGTTGTACGGCTGCCAACCTGACCGAACTTTGTCCCGCTTTAACTTCAGTGGACGACCGGGCAACGTTCCACAATTATTTGATACAATGTCACAAGTATGTATTACGAAAATCTCAGATTGTTGTAGGGCTATACATATGGTAGCCTAGTGGTTAAAGCGTTCGCTCGTCATGCCGAAGACCCGGGCTCGATTCCCTTCTTGGGTGCAATGTGTGAAGTCCATTTCTGGTGTCCCCCGCCGTAATATTGCTGGAATATTGCTAAAAGCGGCGTAAACGTTCACTCAGTTTGTTATACATTTTTATAGCAGTCTCATGACTCCGTGCAGGAGTGACCGACATTTTATTGGCATTTTTACTGTATAGTCAATGTATATATACAGAGATGGAAGTGTAGTATACAGTCTGTATGTCTGTCTTCATTACGGTGGGTAATATCAGAAATGAATTGCACAATATGAAAACAAAACGTGCACATCTGTGCAAATACATCACCAGCGTTCACAAATGTTGGCGAAATGAAACTCGACCGTATAGCTCAAGGAATTGAATTTTGAATGAAAGTGATATTCTTTAATATAATAGAGTGGTAAATACGACTACCTACCGAAAGTCCCCGTAAAAGAGCAATTGTCTTATACCTGAAGAAGGGAGAAGAACTTGCCCAGATACGTCGTGGTAAACATATAAACAAGTTGTTATCCATAAGATTCGTCTTGTATTTCTACACCAACTTTTAAATGCCTTTGAAGAACTTAATTTATTTTAGTGGCATTTAGAAGTTGGTGTGATGAACAAGGGGGAGAGTTCTTTATTACCAAATATTCGACGTGATGATAACACCGTTATCCGAGTTAGCAAACTATCTCCCTTGTTGAACGTATACTTAGACCAGGGGTAATCCACGTCTTCTATTCTCCCTGCTTAGACTGATGCTTGGCTGTATTTGCGTTGCATGGATATCATGGAATTGCGTGCCAATATAGTGACATAATCGGTCAACTATGGGCTCGGCATTTTCAGTACAACCACAAATTATTGAGAATTTAAAGATTGTAATTTTTTTAATTGTTTTCACTCATTACTCACGTTTTAAATGTGAATATTAGCAGAACATAACTCCAGATTTAAAGACAGGTGAACAGTTAGTATTTTGTCAAGTCACCATGGGCAGCAATGCAGGCTTCAATGCGGCGGGGCTTACTACTGATCAAAGAAGTTAGAAAGTCGTGGTCCATGCTGTCCCAATATCGGACCACCTCTTCTTTCATTTCAGCAATATTTGTCAGATTTTTCTTATTGACACTTTCATTCATAAGTCCCCAAACATTTTCAATTGGAATTAGGTCAGGGCTATAACTTGGCCAATCTAATAATGTCATCTTTTGGGTCCGAAACCAGGCCTGTGAATGCTTTGAACGGTGTTTTGGGTCGTTGTCCTGCTGGAAAATCCAAACATTTCCATAGAACACGTGAGCTGATGGAAGTAAATGTCCCTCGCGAATATCTGTGTACCGCTCACTGTTCATATTCCCTTCAAATACACAGAGGGGCGTTGCCCCTAACACAGATATGCCACCCCACACGTTAAATTTCGGACTGTATACTTTGGGCGCTGATACTAAGGTTTATTTGGTCCAGAATTTCAGTGTATTAGGAAACAGCCACACTGAACTTTCATCTGAGAAAATCACATTGTCCAAGTTAAAATTTATATGCTGTAAGCACCAGTTCAACCTTCGCTCCTTTTGTTCAGGTTTCATGATCGGTGATTGAATTCCTCGACTTTTCTTACAGACAGCCACAGTTCCTCTATCAATCATATCCAGCCTTAAGTTTTCTAAACTCCTTCGTTTGTTTTTAGAAACAAGAATACCAAGCCGCCTCCTGTCACCGACAGTCAATTTTCTGGGCCTACCTCCGCCTCCCTGGTGCTCAATGCCATATCCATTTGCAATATTTTTCAAAACACGATAAACAGTTGACAAAGGGATGCCTGTTCTACTTGAAATCACTTTAGCTGATCTGATGTCCTTGTTATAATACTCTGAAAGCAACTTCCTCTTCTCTAAATCATCCATACTGAGGATCACTGAAAATGTCGTCTGCTAGCAAGTAAACAAAGGGGGGTAACTCTTCACAAACTAATGAAAAAGGATTAACGGAGTTGTCTCTCTTGAATGAAACCAAGCACTTGATAGCTGGTCACGGCTGTTTATACTAGAAATCCAATTAAACATATTCCTAAAATTCTCAATAAGTTCTGGTCATACTATATGTATGTGACATACTGACATGTAAGGTTTAGGATTTTAAAATGTAGAAATTCTCCGAGTTAACACTGTCAGTGTCAGCGTCTGGTGGATCAGTCAGTCAGTTGACTGAATTAAGACATTTTCAGTATTCATCAGCACGATGAGCAAGCAAATAGTTCTGTAATTGAGAAACATAATACGTAACACGTACACTATCAGTAGTGATATGTATCGTATACCTTGCGGCATATGTTAGCGGACGTGGCAGATCGATCAAAATCGTGCCCGCGGGAAGTACTCCGCTGAAACAACATGTATATATACGCTTATCAGCCCCGTCACATCTGGGGAATACAATATACGCCGGTCTCACTTCAGCCCGAATAACCAACACGCTGAATATATGCCGTACCTGATTCTACGACCAGTGTGGCTGTTTCGAAGAACAATATTTACCGGGAAATTTAAAAAATCATAATTGACATGTGTGGAACTGTCAAAAATATACATAGAAGACATAACAAAAACAACTGTGAAACATACAAACTTCATTTGAACTCAGTAAAGAAAACCCATTTCTGGTGTCCCCCGCCGTGATGTTGCTGGAATATTGCTAAAAGCGGCGTAAAACCAAACTCACTCAGTCACTCAGTCACTCAGTCAGTCAAGAAAATTAGGAAGTTTCAGTTCTCTTCGAAACCTCACTCATTGCATCATGAATATGACAACAACGACTGAAAAAATACTTTATTTGGCATTCAAATGTAAATCTTTGAAATATCTCCTAGAAACTGCGTTACTGTTTCAAACTATTCCATACTTACAATATGTGAAATAGTATATTGTCATGCTTGATTACAGTGTTATCATCATTGTTGGGTATGTGAGTCAGGTATCGTGTTATCATCATTATTGGGTATGTGAGTCAGGTATCATGTTATTATCATTATGGGGTATGTTACTCAGGTATCGTGTTATTATCATTATGGGGTATGTGAGTCAGATATCTGGTTATGATCATTATGGGGTATGTGAGTCAGGTATCGTGTTATTATCATTATGGGGAATGCGAGTCAGGTTGTTGCTTGTCAGCAAATGGCTTGCTTGGTCTAGACTGGATACAAGCCGTTTTGAATCTCGTTGGTTGCGGCGTTAAACAAACACCACTCACTCAGAAGTTAGTGGAAATGGATATAATTACACAAAGGGAGGTAAGCACTGTAGGTAGGAATGCACATTAAGGAGACAGTGCCACCATCTGATTGGCTCTACCCTAGGGCAAGTTCAACAAAATAAACCTGTGACGGACACGGGACAAGGACACAAAGTGAGATGTCGGAGAGGAGGGGTGACAGACAGTAGATTGATAGCAGGTAAGAGTTGTTATTATGTTTAGAAATGTATACTAGTATTTTACAGGTGTTTTGGCAGTTAGGTCTCAACTGTAACTAAAAACCCTCTCTTATAAGTATACTGTGTTTACTCTTTTGATATATATATCAGTAGACCTGAATATGTTTATTCAAAAGCTTGGAGTTTATGGATGTATATCAATACAAATTTGCGTCAGTTTAATGCATATGTTTAAAAAAATAGTCCAGAAATCGTTTTAAAACGGACACCAGATACTTCTATTTCAAAATCCCTTAACTTATATGATCTTGGATAGCCTTTAAGATATCTGTGATTTGGTGTAGAGTTTTGATGTTATCGTGAATATACAATGTCATGGAATACGTACATCTGTTCATGTGCTGTCTCAAATCCACCAGAGAGTGTTCACCAGGTTTCCGAATTAATCATACCTATATACAGTATTTAAATGGAGTCACAGGTGTTCGAGAGCATTTCCTAATTTGTTTTTAACCATTATTTGAAGAACAACACATCTTTGATTCTCCACATCCTGTAAATTCTCATCAACTTATGCAAGTGCGTAAGTCAAACAGTGTTATATTCTGACAATGAAGGGTATTAACATGCCGTGGATACCGCCGGGTGTATCTGGCGGTTTTGCTGATGACGTTTACGAATAACTGCTCTGACACAAAGTACTTAAATGCAAAATCTATTATAGACATGACGTCCGTTGACAGGATTATTGCTATATTATTAGCCATTGATGACACACAGTGATGGCTGTATATGATATTTAGATTTTGTTTTTGAAAAGTTGTTGGTATATTTGGAAATGTTTACTTTAAAGGTAACTGACAGTTGAGTTTAAACTGTTACAAAACAACCACTATGAGACAGGTTTATCACACTCATTGATATAACTTGCACATGACAACACAGCTCAAGTTGGATAAAAACTTAGTTCCATAAGATAAGGGTCCGAAGTAGGGGTGGGGGGTGTCACCGGCCCTGCAAGTTGTCCAACCTTTTAATGGCTTATTTGGGAGCGCCGTTGCTGAATACAATCTAATATATGTACTCGCATTTGAAGTACGTTAGATCACTTAACTGAAGCATGAATAGTGCAATACAGATACGGATCTTTGCATCCTTGTTTACTGCGGCGTATAACATCATTCACACATCCACCTACACTGAACAGGTGAAAATAACAAAGTTTGAAAAATGTGACAACGGATATTTCCACGCACAAACAAATTCATTTAAAATTTCAGTTTCAAGAAACCATAACATGTTCGCAAGTTGTCATGTAAAACTTATGACAAATGAACAAACTCAAAAGTTGATCACATGACTCGTTTCAACCTAGGACCATGTGACATGTTCAGGCCTCCACAAATCAACATACAAATCAAGGTGGTGTCTTCTTTCACTAGTAGTTCCCTTTCTTTGAATCTGTACACGAAACGCGCATAAGCAAAATAGACGGTGACAGGGATATGATTTACAGTTGACGTCTTACGGGCAACACATTGACGGAGTTTCGTGACCGAAACCATGCATGTCCAGCTAGACGAGGAGACAGATAGAACGGGAGATAATACTCTCGACTTCAGTGTTCATTTTTTGGCTATGTAACCATTCAAATGTTCCAAAATAGAACACAGGGCGTGATAGCGTTCAGGTGGGAGGGCAAAAGGGATGATGTTTGTTTGTTTGTTCAAACAGAATTTGAGGTGCAATCTCTTTGGGTTTGTAGACTTTTGTAGCTGAGTGAAAGAACTACTATATGAAACATAATGGAAAGCTAAACGGTTCATCATTTTGTTGACTTGCAGCACACGGCACCTTGTAAATGGTCTTCCATAATAATTATGAATACTCGATAACTTCCGGCAACTTATCAAGTTACTCAAACCTGAAAATATCATATCTTAATTTCCACAGAAGGAACTCCACCAAAACACAAGTTATAGACGTCCACCGAAACAGAGGTGAAGGGAGAACCTGCTACAGAAGTCCACCAAACAGAAGTGAAGGACAATCTTCCCACAGAAGTCCACCAAAACAGAGGTCAAGGACAATCTTCCCACAGAAGTCCACCAAACAGAGGTCAAGGACAAACATCATCTACAAAAAAAAGTCCGTCCCGTCAATGAGACGCCGCTATGGCGTCACGCCTGTTTATCATTAACCATCGTGTGCGGAAATATGTCATTCTCTTGTCAGTGATCCTTGTAACTCTCTTGGTGAACAATAGGTTAAGGGAGTATGCTGAACGTGTTAAATATGTTGACATAGCACAGGCTCTTGAAACCAAACTGTTTTACAGCAATAAAATACATGACGTTCATGACCATACCAGAAACGAAGTAGATGAATTCCTTGACTATTCAACGTCACAGAACTGCACCGTGCGGGACTTACTGCTCAGCGCCGATCCTTCCTTTAATACAGTAAATCAGGATTTATTCTGTGACGAAAAGGCAAAAAGCAGTGACGTCATATGTAGGTGGTTCTTCGCACAAATTGGAATGAGCGACATCCATGACGAAAATGCATGCAGACGTACCGGAAGTGACTCTAAAGTGCCCAAAATTGTGTACTACGTCATCTTCGGACCTTACACTTTTCAGTTCTATCATTACGTAAGTGTAGTGAGCGCCAGGCGGTTTATAAACCCCTCAGCTATCTACCTGATAGGAGACGCCCATCCAAGTGGTGTTTGGTGGACGCAGGTTCTGAGGGACGTCCCGGGGGTGAGGTTCGTCTACAGGGAGAGGCCCCCTGGGATAAACGGCAAACCAGTCACGTGGAAACACCATTTGTCTGACTTGGTCAGACTACAGGCTCTGTACGGTAAGTGTCATTGTAATTGTAGTTCAGGTCACCAAGAGTCCAATGGACTTCGTAACAGGCTGATATATGATTTGGTAACGTTAACGAGATATATAACTTCTTTTTCTTCTAAATGTACAACGAAAATGTTTGAAAACCAGTTGGATTTACAGGGGGTTATTCATTGAATATTCAGCGTCGACAACGTGAGTGAGCGGAGAAAGATAAGAAAACAATAAATATGAGTCGGGAAAGGTTCATCTGGGGGCAATGCGGATAAATTGACACTTGTGTGACCATTCAGTATTTAGTTTGAACCCTTGGCATAATATTTAAATAAGTGAAAACATTAGAATAAGTGAAGTCCTTATGATTACGTCATCTGAAAGGGGATGGGTAGTGTCTCCAAAACAAGCTCTTTCAGTAAACATAGAAGGGGGGAGTCACTTTTACAAGCGAATGTAGTTTCAAAGTGCACTTTGTGTACTTTAAATATCTAAGTTTGATTCTAGCGGACTTCTGCCTATCTGCCTACACACAAAATGTTTCTTGCATATTTTGTTTCCTGATGCATTTATTACAGAATTTGCGTTTTTTGGGGGGACCAAGATAAGTCAAACAAAATGGGGATCGTGAGGTTGGAACATAGCAAAACCAATTTGCTTGAGGTTGACAGATAATGTGTAGAAAAATAAAACATTAAAACGGCTGCATTTGTATCAGTTTCTAGGTGAGGCTGACTACTTTTGAACGCCCCCCGTAATTGTTCACTAGCACCTGCTGCACCATACAATGGTAGAACGGCAACCATGACATAGTATCGTAAATTCGTAGATTTTGTTCATGATATCAGTCATTGGAGTGTCTGGTCCAGACTCGATTCCTCACATATTGCAGTCATTAAGCTGGATTGCTGTGTGCGGCGTAAAACAACAAACGTTTTCTGTTGGCAGAGAAACCAACGTTTTACGTATTGAGCGCTGTTTGTTCATTCAGACACCCAACGGGACAAGTTAGTTTACTACAAATAATGATGACGGCAATGTTAACTGTGAAAGGTCCCCTTTGGCCATAACCATATGATTATTTATCTTTGTCCTGGCAGCTAATGGCGGCATCTACCTGGACACCGACATGGTGGTCACTCGACCCCTAGAGCCTCTACTGGACTTCGACATCACCATGGGGCTACTCGACAACGGCACGGGAATGGGCAACGCCATCATCCTTGCCAAGAGGGGGTCCAAGTTCGTCAGAGAGTGGTACGAAGGCTACCGGACATACAACAACAAGGAGTTCTACAAGAACTCGCTCCACGTTCCCCGGGACATGTGGCACAAGAACCCAAAGAGCATCCACATGGAATCAGATAGACTGTACCGGCCGAACTGGTTCGAGTCGGACTTGCTGTTTAAGAAGAATGACTACCCGTGGAGGGATAACTACGCGATTCACGTCTGGACAAACCACAACCCACTCCCTAAAGGGTTTTCTGACATTAACCGTTTAAACACCACCCTTGGGCAGATATTCCGCCATGTTCTATACGGAAGTACAGATTATAGAACTGACGACAGGTGAGGTTACAGCACTGATGGACCTGTAGTTACTGTTTGACGTATTTCAGAGACCTGTGTGTCTGAAAGTATGTGTGGTGGACTCCTACGTTGTATTCTGCTCAGCAGTGTGATGTAGTTGAATGGCGGCACGAAGCCACAGACTGTTCGGCTGTGTTTACTGGGTGGGATATATAGTCTCCAGTAGAGTCAGCCTACCGTTATATGGAGCTGGATGTGCAGGAACATGATATATGTGCTCGTGAAGGACACTACACTTTATTTTGTTCTTGATTTCTCCTCATAATGTGTTAATTCAAATATTTGACGATCTGATTTTGATATTTGTTATGTTTCTATATACGAATAGGACTTATTCTGAAGGTATGTCTCAAGTATTGATCATTGGCGAGACGAACGTTAACTTCGTAACATAAAGCAATTCATGCAAAGAACATATTGTCGTACGCACTTTGTTTACTGCCATATGTGTCAAGTCACTATGGCCAGCCCTCTACCACATTAGGCGCGGTGGGGTAGCCTAGTGGTTAGAACGTTCGCTCGTCACTCCGATGACCCGGGTTAGACTCCAAACATGGGTACAATGTGTGAAGCCCATTTCTGGTGTTCCCTGCCGTGATATTGCTGGAATATTGCTAAAGGCGGGGTAAATCTAAACTCACTCACTTACTCACTCACTCGGTACCACATTCACTGGTCCCACTGAAGGTTAAGCAATTTTGTTTAGTCAACCAACGGAGGCCAAGAAGTGTGATACAAACCTGCACTATGTCTGGGTTTGGGTGCACAAACGATGTAAATAACCGTGGAAATTCCTGCACCTCGAAATAGGACTGCCAACTGTCCCTAGCCCAGGACTACTTATATGATGTGCCTCAGTTCACGGTGTCGTAAAAGGGGTAATTGGATTATATATAGCTACTGTGATGGCATTTAGAAGTTGGTTTGATGAACAACGGAGATGGTTCTATGGATATACTTCTTTATTATCAATATAAGTGACGTTTCGGTGTAACACCGTTATCAAGCAAGTTACACCGAAACATTGCATATATACATAATAAAGCAGTTGTGTATCCATAGAACTCCCCCCCGTGTTCGTAACGTAATAGTTCTTAATCTTTGTAACGTTATAAAATAAAACCATCAGTTGGTAAAAAAACTGATTTCCCCCCCCTTAATACAACTGCAATATATCGAACAACAGACGGTCTTCATTTTTCTGTAACCCATCTCGATGATGTGACTCGTGAAGGTCCCGGGTTAGAATTGGTCTTCAGTAACCCATGCTTGTTGTAAGAGGCGACTATGCTTGTCGTAAGAGGCGACTAACGGGATCGGGTGGTCAGTCTCGCTGACTTGGTTGACACATGTCATCGGTTCCCAATTGCGCAGATCGATGCTCATGCTGTTGATAACTGGATTGTCTGGTCCAGACTCGATTATTTACAGACCGCCGCCATATGGCTGGAATATTGCTGAGTGCGGCGTAAAACTAAACTCACTCACTCACTCTCGATGATGTTATCAGTTGTTCTGTTATATTTCTAACGAAAGCCATTCATTCATAAACTGTGTCGGACATTTGTCACAGTAATGAAGGTGTGTAACCCTGAAAAGTCAGCTGCGTTTACCTCACAGTGTTCCAACGGCGTAATTAACTCTGTAGGGAAGGTGTGGCCTGAACAGTCTACAACACTGTTGTGCGGAGATACCAGGTTTAATCAAATTCAGTGTATACATGGTGTCATTGCATAATGGTTAAAACATGGTCTAGGTGTAAAACAGCGAAATACACTGAAACCATATCGTTTTAAACATTGCTGCGTTCAAGGAAAATTTGTTTCATTGTACATAAAATTGTTTGCGATTTTCATTAAGTCTTGATATTGCATTTCTGTCCTGTTTTATGTCTTTTTCTTGCACATGGGAAATGAAAAAAAAGAAACAAACAGGCAAATTCTGTCTACACGGGACAGGAATTAATGGACAAATGCAATAATCAGGATTATCGAGGTCACAGATGAGTGATAATGTATCGTTGAGGTCACATGAAAGGTCAAGGTCAGCGTAGGCCCACATCACTTTCACCCCAAGACACATACAACTGGATTGTTCTGGGACATCACTCTGATGTTTAACAGATCATGGGTTGCACAAACACATTTTGCTTGTTTAATGCCGCACTCAGCAATGTACCAGACGGACAACGACAGTAAATAGCAAACTCTGGACACGACAAATCAGAGATTGATGTCATCTGTAAAGTACACGTCGAGATACGTGGAAACCAGATAATGCGTCACATCGTCTCTCGAAACTAACACGGACTGTTGCGTACCAAAATATTACCAATGGTTCCGACAATCCTGGGCCCACTTGCACAAAACGATTGTATCTCTACAATAGTCGTAACTCTGATTGTAAGGTAATTGTAGGGTCACCCGCCTCTTGCACAAAGCGATCGTAAGCCTACAATAGTTGTAAGTTACAACTGAAACCTACAATAGCCCACTACCTATTGTAAGTGCCTACAATCGATGGTAAAAATGGCGTCGTACATGCATGGCTGCCGACGAAGTATCAGAAAAAGTTAAATGTATTTTTAGAAATAGAACATCACATTTTGGAGTTATTGACGGAAGGTTAACTCATTTCAAGGTATTGGTTGCCTCGGCATGCCATATTCTCACTTTTGGAGAAAGTTCGGCCACACATCGCACATGGAACCAAGCGTTCACATGCCATTTCCCCTGAAACTCAGTTGCTGGTTACACTTCGTTACCTGAGTAAAGGAGGTTTTTTAATGGAAATATGTGATCTACATGGCGTTCACGAGTCCTCTGTGTCGCGCTGTCCATCGGACAATCCGTGCCATCAGGGATACTCTACAATAACTATACAACAACTCTTATATAGTCTCCCTGGTGCCATAAACAACGTTTTGGACACCAAGTAAATAAAGTTAGAATGCAAGACTTCTACAAAATAGCTGAATTTTCCCGCTTTATTGGGGCAATTGATGGTACACTTATTCCCATTAAACGACCACCTGCAGACGAAGAAGTGGCCTGTTTGTCGGAAAGGCTTCCACGCTATAAATGTTCAAGCCGTATGTGACGCCAACTTGAGGTAAACTTTAATTTGAGAGTAGCTTCCCTTGTATCTAAATATAGAATAAGGGAGTTAATGTTGTAACGATTTGATCACATAACACTGAAATGTTACGATATAAAAGAATTGTAAAAACCAGTTTCGTTATTATGAGATATATGGGAAAGAATAAAGTTTCATATATACATAAAATAAGTGGGAATAATAGAGTCAAAGCGAAAATGGCTGTAGGTGAATATTGGTACCAAATACGTACTCGTCTCCACCCCGAATTTGTACCCAAATAAACAATAATTCTTTATTCCTTTGTATTAAAGATGTATTCAAATTTAAGCACATAATTTAGATAGATTGGGACAGCCAGGTGTTCGAGAAGCACGTTCACAGACAAATTTATTTATTCATTAACCTGTGCTGTGCCGTCTCCATCCGTTCTCGAACACCTGGCTGTCCCTTTCACTGCACTCCTCCCTCGTAAGAAATAGTGAACTGTGTCCATATTTTAATAATAGATTGTTAAAGAACTTTTTTTATTTTTAGGACAAAAATTCTGCAAAAACCTCACAGAGTGGGTATGATGTTTTGATTATTATCAGCGTTTCATTGAGTATTTTATGTTTATTAGTTTTCGAGTTAGATTGCAATTCATCAGTCCGCTTTTGAGCCAAACGGACTATAGATGTTGGTCTAGGCTTCAGAGACTAGATGTTGGTCTAGGCTTCAGAGACTACATGTTGGTCTAGGCTTCAGAGACTACATGTTGGTCTAGGCTTCAGAGACTACATGTTGGTCTAGGCTTCAGAGACTACATGTTGGTCTAGGCTTCAGAGACTAGTTGTTGGTCTAGGCTTCAGAGACTACATGTTGGTCTAAGCTTCAGAGACTAGATGTTGGTCTAGGCTTCAGAGACTACATGTTGGTCTAGGCTTCAGAGACTAGATGTTGGTCTAGGCTACAGAGACTACATGTTGGTCTAGGCTTCAGAGACTAGATGTTGGTCTAGGCTTCAGAGACTAGATGTTGGTCTAGGCTTCAGAGACTACATGTTGGTCTAGGCTTCAGAGACTAGATGTTGGTCTAAGCTTCAGAGACAACATGTTGGTCTAGGCTTCAGAGACTAGATGTTGGTCTAGGCTTCAGAGACTAGATGTTGGTCTAGGCTTCAGAGACAACATGTTGTTTGACTGGTTGGGTTCAGTTGTTCCAGGACTGTTTTCGCTGCCCATAAACTTATGACCTCATCCACTCACTCTTGACCGCGTGACACCCGTGAAGATCCGGGTCAGAATTGATCTTCAGCAAACCATGCTTGTGAGAGGCGACTAACGAGGTCGGGTGGTTAGGTTCGCTGACTTGGTTGACACATGTCATCGTATCCCAATTGCGTAGATCGATGCTGATACTCCTGATGAGAGGACTGTCTGGTCCAGACTCGATTATTTACTGACCACCTCCATATAGCTGGAATACTGCTGAGTGTGGCGTTAAAGTAAACTCGCGTGAGTTCCACTGTGTGAGACAGATGTATTACATGTTGATTGGTCCTCCTTACATTCAACACAAACCAACAGCATGGTGCGCTATTTACTTACGTGTCACCTTGTTTGGAATAACGAGTTACCTCATCATGTCTCGACCTATTTTGCACTGGAATTCCCAAATGGACAATAGCGTGTACATACGGTTATGAAATATAGGTCACATTACTGGTGGTGAGTTATCCCGAATCAGCGATTCTTCTTGGTGAGGGAGAAAAAGCCCCAAGTTAAGTATGTCCTAGCATGGGTTGGTCCTGAAAGGCCAAGAGACCTAAAACATGGGAAACTGCAAATTACTGACAACATAAAATGGAAAAGTATCTTTAATAGCAATATTATTGTTTCACACATTTTACGAAATGGTCTCCATATCCAGCCATAGGGACATCCGGTCTCTTACAGCGGAGGCCGGGCTTGCACGGGCAGGACATGGTGTAATGGCGGGCGATAGGGGAATACTGGGACTGAATCATGCACCAATCAGAACTCTCGTTTTTCAGCCCGTCGCATGTATGGGCGTAGAAAGGATCTGCCGTTTCTTGATAATGGGTGAGAGAACACAGCACTGTAGTTGGTCGGCGTTGGTGTGACACCGATACATCCTGGACGGCGTGGTCTATTCGTCACACTACACAAAATGACTGCTTATCCAAAAATGCTTCA